GTTTCTGGGATCCAAGATCACTGCAGATGGTGACTGCAGCCATGAAATTAAAAGATGCCTGCTCCTTGGGAGGAAAGCTATGGCAAACCTAGACAGCATAATAAAAAGTAGAGACATCACCCTGCCAACCAAAGTCCGTATGGTCAAAGCAATGGTATTCCCAAGTAGTAATGTATGGCTGTGAGAGTTGGACCATAAAGAAGGCCGAGCGCCATGAATTATGGTGCTGGAGAAGACTCTTGAGAGTCCCTTGGCTTGCAAGGAGATCAGATCAATCAGTCCTAAAAGAAATCAACCCTGACTGTTCCCTGGATGAAGCTGAAGCTCAAATACGTTGGCCACCAAATGAGAAGGGAGCACTCACTGGAGAAGACCCTGCTGCTGGGAAAGATTGAAGGTAAAAGAAGAAAGGGACAGCAAAGGATGAGATGGTTAGACAGTGTTATTGATGCAATGAACATGAAATTAAGCAAATTCCGGAGGTCGGTGGAAGACAGGAGGGCCTGGCATGATGTGGTCCACGGGGTTGTGAAGAGTCAGACTCAACTGTGCGACTGAACAGCAACAACAAATTCCTCTGATGGCCTGCTCATAAAAGTCTGTTTTCCTTTCCAGATCTCACTGTATACATCACCCTCTGCCCTGGGTGCAAATACATACATGGTTCTCTGTAATAATAATAATAATAATAGGTAATAATTATACAAAATAATAATTATCGTATGACATTGTATGTAGAATAGCCAGGAGATCCTAAGATTTCCTGGCAGGCTGAAGTTCTAGCACTTTTATTATTATGCACCACTAGGTGGCGAACTAGACTCATTTGGGGGGGCTGAGAAAGCTGACGGTGGGACGTCCTGATCAAGGCTTGTAAGGCGAAACAAGCTTGCCGGCTACAGAAAGAACTCCTGCAATGGACGTTCCGGCCAGGCGGTGGCAGTGTGGCTATAGACATACAGGTCCTGGAGCCTGGCCAGCAAACAGCCGTGCCGGAAAATGACGAAGCCAGCCGGAAGACCTTCTACACCGGGCAGTGTCGGCGTGTGCAATTAAAATGAATATATGTTGTCTTCCCTATCCCCTACAAACATTGTTAGTCCCTTGTCTATATTTGAGTAACTGTACATCGCTTTGAGCCCACTGGGGAAAGCGATGAATAAATGGAAAGTATTATTATTATTCATGTGGAAAAGTGCAGAATCGAACCCGGTTGTTCAGATAAGAGTCCGTCACTCTTAATGGTTCTCTGTTAAGTAGGGATACAAGTATCTAGAAAGCTGATACCGAAAATTTTTTGTTGGTCTCCAAAGTACTGCTGGACTTGAGTCTACTGTAAACCAGCACAGCTATCCTCTGAAACAAAAAGAGACAATTTCACTGCAAATCAGCTTGTGCTGCATTTCCAGTGTGTGGGCTCACAGGAAAATGCTGAGTGAGAAAATAAGGCTGACATTATTTCTTCAAGCATCTTTTTTATTTCTTGTTATATAAAGAAGCATACATCATCATTTGGGAGGGGGGAGGGCAGGGGCTTTCCATTTTTAAGTACTACTCAGAGATGTACACTCTTTTAACACAAAAAAAGTTTCCTGTGTTCACAGGTACCTTGAGAGCCGCTTGTAAAAAACACTGGCTCCTTTCTGGTTTCCTCTGCTGTTATTGCACATTTGAGAAAAATCTTGGATCAAAAAGGCACAGTAAAAACAAAATCACTAGTGCTTCTACAGTAGATGTTTCCACACACGCACTATACAACATAAAACTAAATTCTTTAGACATGTATACTTACAGACACACATAAAAAAAACAAACCATGCACTAGCTGGGACTTCGGGTTGCCTTGCTGCTTCGTAATATACAAATAAAGTATAGTTTAATATTGTAAACAAATGGCATGCACATAGACGATAGCAAAAAAAAATCTTTTAACATAGTATCGGAGAGCTATGATGCTTAAATAAAACAAAATATATAATTTACTAGTCCTTAGTGGTTACGTGCCATTCTTGTCCTAGTGAAATTTTTAAAATTCTGCATTATTATTATTTTTTTGGTTCGGTTTGGTTCACAGATTGGCAGCTTTAATGTTTAGAGACAGATATGGCTTTATTTCTTTGCATTGTACCCCACAAAGAGGGGTTGTTTTTCATTAGAAAAAGGAAAATTACTCCATTTGGATGCAGCTTCTTAAGCTGCTCTTCAGCTATGGGACATTAATAAAAAAATATTTGTACCATTTGCCAGGGTGCGCTGGAGAGAGAAAAAATGGGGAGTTCCAGGGGCCTATTTGGCATGTCCAGCTTCAAAACAAATCAATAATTTGAAGGAAATGTTGGCTTCATCTTCCACTCCAAATTGATATGCAAAATTAAAAATAATGACAATAAGTAGCAGCACTCATCATGGGTGCTTCTGCTCAAGTGCGGTCACATGATTTCCAAATTCAGTGGCTGGAGATTATAAGGGCAACTCTCTTGAAATCAAGCACTGTGGCTCTACAAAGTGAGTTCTCTGCAAAGTGACTTCACTGGAAGGGGTGTGTGTGGTGGTGGTGGTGGGGTTCTGGCCTATTCCTTCCCCCACTTGAAGCCACTTGAAAGAGTATTTGTCCCATCACATCAGGAGGAGAAGGCACTTTGATGGGGGAAGACCGCTTTCCTAAAAAGGCACAATTTCTTAGTCAGTCCCTCCCCGTAAAGGAGTCTGTTGGTTAGATCAGGCAGAGTTCCACACAGTGGCTGCCCAAGAGGTGTCCACTCCTCTCAGCCACGGCTTTCTTTGCTGAGTCCAGGCTGGGGAAGGTGACCAGGGCCTCTCCGCTGGGCTGCCCGCTGAAGTTGTAAAGCAGGAGGATGGAATCCGTGTGGAGCTGCAGGGAGAGAGCAGGTGGTCAGAAAACAAGGAAACGGGTGGTGGGGAGGGAGGAAGTCAGAAGATTAACAAGGAACTAATGCGACTCTAGACAACAAAATTAAAAAGAGTGGAAGGTAAAGTGGAGAGAGAGAGAGAGAGAGAGAGGGAGAGAGAGAAACTAGATCATGGTGACTGAGAAATTAGAAAGATATCAAACCAGCGGGCTCAGACTGGAGTAACTCAGCATAGCATAGCACTAGGATTGCCAGGCCTGCGTTGGGAAATACCTGGAGATTTTAGGGGTGGAACCTGGAAAGGTGGGGCTTAGGAAGGGGAGGGAACTCAGCAGAGTATAAGGCCATAGAATCCCCCCTCCAAAGCAGCCAGGGCAACTGATCTTGGTCACCCGGGGATCAAGTGCAGTAGCAGGAGATCTCCAGGTGCCACCTGGAGGTTGGCAACTGTACATTGTGTGCTAAATGTACTGGGGGAACACATCAGGAAATTAAAACAGCAAAGACAGACTGAACGTTGCACACTGCAAAAATGTATTAAGACACCTAAGAGCAAGAAGAAAAAAAGAAAAGGAACTCCATAAACATTGAAGAGAATGCAAAAAAAAATTCATTCATTGAGGGGAAAACGTGGACATTTAGAGGCTTAAGAAAAGGGAACCTTGTAGGACTTTTTGAAGAGCGGCTAGTACAGACATACAAAGGAAGGGCTCGCAGGCTGGGCAATTACTTCTGAGACAGGCAATCCCCAAAATGGAGACGGGGCATCAATTATCTTACATGGTAAATGGAATCCAGGCACAATTGACAGGGGAATCTGGGCCAGCTCTTAGACTATCCAGTCCCCACCCCCACCCCCTAGGTTTAGAGCCAAGTAAAACACACCTGCTTCCTAACATTAAAAACTAAGAGGACCTTTGACAAGCCTTTTAATGACTCCAAGTTGATAAGATATTGGAATTCTGGTTTTCCCAAGGCTGTGAAAACAGCTCTCCACCAACTTGGCTGGGGTGGTTTTTAAGCCTCCTCCTTGGGAACTGCAGGCTCAGAAGTTTGGTGGGTGGTGTGCTCCTCAGTGAGAAGATCAGCCAACGATGGGCTGATAGTTTCAAGTCCAGCAGCCCCTTAGAGACCAACAAGATCTTCAGGGTATAAACTTTTGAGAGTCAGAGCTCCCTTCATCAGACAGAGCTTTGACTCTCCAACGCTTAGATCCCTAAAATCCTGGACTCGTCTAGTTGTTCCACTGGAGAACAGCCTGGCTGCCCTCGGAAACAACGGTGGGCCGGTTTCACGGCAAGTCAGACAGCAGAGCTGCTAAGGGTCTTTGCTGTGCAAAGGGGCAGCCACGAGAGTCGTGTTCGCATGTTATAGCCAACGCCTGTACAATCTCTGTAGAGCGTATGTTTGCTTTTTCTTTATAGGCCCGTTGAGTGATTCTCAAGTGATGTTCAACACACACATACAGCTGAGTGTGTGAACTGAGTCCCATGTTTGTCCAGAGTACGGTCCCAGGTTTCATTTGTACAATAAACATATGCTAGCTCTTTCTTACAAACAGGTGTACACATGTACATGCGAGATGTACATGCAATCACTGTTAATAGGGCTGGAGTATACTCAGGTTACACATCCCATTCAGGACAGGGAATGCTATGTGTACCAACAGGCCAGGTCAACATCCCTGTGGTCTGAGCATTGCCCCAGAACACAGATGCATTACAATGCACCGGGTGAGATAGTGTGCATAAAGTATGCCCCCAAAGGTATAAAGCTGCTGTGTTCTATTTAAAGGGGAAGAATAGGAAACTATGTGCTGGATACACAGTAAAACGTCCACAATGGAAGAGACTCTTGTTAGAGGAACAGAGCTCTCCTGCTCCCTCCTCCCACTGCAGCTCCTTGATTTCCCTCCAAATGCTGCTCCTGGGGACAGGGGGGCCCTCAGGGAAGGCATCAGGGGCAAATTGGGGGTCTGCAGCAACCCAAAGGGAGGACTGGCTGAAGCTACGCCTCCCCTTCCATTAGTGGGAAATTTAATCTGGATCCAGCGCTACATCCCTGTAGTCCCGTCAGGAGATCGCTCAGACAGATCCACCCCCTTGCATCACTCAGCAAAGGAACTGCAGCCGTCTTGGCAGTGCCAGGCATCATTCTTGCTCTTCTCGAACAACTGTGACGTCTTTGGCGTTTGTTCCGCCTGTGCATAAACCTGGGTGCCCAAAAATAATCCAGGAGGAAAATCACCAGGAGGAAGCAAAGAGTTAAAATGCAGAAAAAGCCAGGACTAGTTCATCCAGTGGCCGTTTAAAGACTTTGGATTTAGGTAAAACAGAAGCAGAACAGAACACTCTCTGACTCTGCACCTTTGCTCTTCCTTCTCTGCCAGAAAACCGGGGCCCTCTTTCAAGAGTGACATTCCTGGCTTTGGACAAGACCGCACAGTCGTTTTTAAGTTTAAAGTGGCAGGCTTCCTTTTTTATTTCTTCAGCAGGGAGTAAGATCATGGTCTCACACATGTGGGCACTACACAGCAGTAGTACCCACGAACAGAGTTCCTTCAGCTCTCACTCTTTGGGATCCTGGAATCCATTCATGCTAGTTGCTTTGCAGTCATTCAGACTGGTGATCTATGTGCGAGTTTCCCAGGTGCGGGGCTTTAAGAGTCAGTAGTGTTTTTTGTTTTTTTAAATGGTCCTGCTTTTTGCCCAGATCCCCACCTCCCCCGTGCCACCTGCTACGGAAGCTGGAAGTTTCAACTCAATGCGGGAGGGGGGGGAGACAAAAACACACACTGCACATGTTCAGAAGCACTCTTGCCTTTAAGGATATACGTTTTCAGGACGGAAAACTATCTCACATGGTAAACTGAAAGAAAGCCATCACAATTACTGGAAATGTTAACACCACTCAACCCAATGCGTACTGTTTTGCCTGGGCTGGCCTACGTCCAACAGTAGGAACAGAAGCGTCTTGTTAAAGGCAACTGCCAGGAAAAGGGGGGGGGGGGTTAAATACAATCACGACAGCTTAACCAGGAGTACCTCTCCAAAAACAAGAGATTACCAAGCAACCATGTAACCCGCCCCCACACATGCCGTTCCTTGCAGGCAAACACAGCCCCCCCCCCAATCATCAGCACCACCAGATTAGTCGATTCATGCATGGCACAAAAGCAGGGGACATGTTAGCGAGCAAAGTCCCCACCGCAAGCTGGGAAGGAAACAAATCAAACCCCCCCCCCCATGTACCCATCAAGCCCATCATTTTGCCCCCTCTCCGTTCATTCCCGAAGGCTGCCAGGCCAAGCTTACCTTCATTGGAGGTTACAAACAGTTACAAACAGACCCATTCTTTCGGTGCTTGTAACACACTCCTGGCTTGGTCGTTGAGCTGCACGAGGCCACTGTAGTCATCGGGGGCATACTACAGTACAAGTGCGACACACACAAGGTCAGTCTCTGCGCAACCAGCCGGCCGCACAGACCAGCACTTGCAAGCTTAGAGGAAAGGGGTGAGCTGCCAGCATCAGGGAAGACAAAGACACCGGAATACACAAAGCTGCCTTCTACTGATTCAGACCTAGGGTTGCCTGCTCTGGTTTGGGAAATACCTGGAGCTTTTGAGGGTGGAGCCTGGGGTCTGGGCAGGGGAGGGACCCCTGCAGGGCATAATGCCATAGAGTCCACCCTACAAAGCAGCTATTCTCTTCGGGGGGACTGATCTTGGTCATCTGCAGGTCAACTGTAATAGCAGGAGATCTCCAGGTGTCCCCTGGAGGTTGGCAACCCTAGCCAGACCAGTGGGCCAGCCAGCCTGCTACTCAGACTGGCCGTGGATATTTCTACACTGGCCTCTGAGTCCTTTGAGCCTGGGGTTGCGAAGCAGTTGGGAAAATCCTGGAGCTTTGGGGGTGGAGTCTGGAGGGCGGGCTTCAGTGTGGTCTAATGCCGTAACATCCACCTTCCAGAGCAGCCATTTTCTCTAGGGGAGCTGATCTCTGTAGCCTGGAGATCAGTTATAATTCCGGGAGATTTCCAGGCACCACATGGTGACCGGCAAGCCTGTTTGTGCCAGACGTGTTGCGGGTTAAACTGGGGACCTTCTAAGTAGGCACTCTGTCCACTAAGCAGGGAATAATACAGGATTTAGGCAGTCTTCGGGTACAGATGTGGGGATTTAAGGGAAGTATCTTTTGGACAAAAAAAGGGTCTCCCTCTTTGATCCTGGGTGAGTCCCAGGAATCTTGCAAAAGTTCCAGACAGGGGTACAGCCACAAATGCTCATAAAATGGGGGTGGCGCATCTGGCACAGTTTGACTGGTGGGAATTGTGGGGAGCTGGAAGGGCAGGAGTGGCTGGGAGGGTGGGGAAAGGCAAGGAAAAAGCGAGAGAGGGATGAGGGGACCAGAGATGGGAGGCAAGGGGGGGGGTATTCACCACAGACTATGTAAGGCTAAATCAGGACAGTGTGGGGAGGAGAAGCCTTGTTGACTTATGCACTGTAAAATTGTGAGCTTTGGTTCCAGGAAAAATATGTCTGCCTGAAGAAGAATCTGTCGAAACACACAATTTTTGCCTAGGAGGCGTGTTGCTTGCTTTGATGCTTGCTGAATCACTTTGTGTGAAAAATATAACTACCTGCTGCGTTTCTCAGGCTTGCTGAATCACTTTTTGTGGAGAATATAACAGCCTGCTGCATCTCTCCTGCATTTACGACTTGTTGCAATCTTCATCAGTCTCTTATCAGGAGCAAGATAGTCTACAGCATTGGAATGAGTCTCTGTAGCTGTGGACTTTTCTATTAGTAGATATATAATGTACTTTAGGTTTTTGTACTATAATGAATGTGTATAAGATATACTAGGGTCTCTATTGTATGTAAATCAATATATGAAGACACAAGTGCATATTAGTGGAGTGTGTTTTGTTCTAACGTGGTGTTTCTTTACGTTTGTCTAACCTCCAGGTGGGGCCTGGAGATCTCCCAGAACTGATTTCCAGACGACAGACACCTGGAGAAAATGGCTGCTTTGCTTTGCTGAGGTCCCTCCCCAAACCCTGCCCTTCCCAGACTCCACCGCCAAATCTCTAGGAATTTCCCAACCGGGAGTTGGCAAACTTATTATTGTAGTGCACACCAGGGGTATGCTTCTCCAAATAGTCTCTGGGTTAAGGACTTTTCCCAACATAAGCTTTCCCTGTGTTTCCTGTTAAATCAAGTTTCACGTCACCAAGCAGCAACACTGACATCCCCTACCAAAAGAAGATCTTGTGCTTGGCCTTGCTGTACTCCTGCTTTTCAGAACTATGGAGGACGTTCAGAGCTACAGCATCCCACCCCATTTCCTGACTGTGGAAAATGGGACCACGGAGGAACTCGTTTTGCTAACCAAGAACATTGTGCATTGACAACAACACGGCACGATGGGGCGGGCTCAGAACCAATCTTCCATCAACCCAGTAAAAGTGCACCCTTTGTAATATTTCTACTAAGCCAAAACGTAATACCCTCCCTCTCGAAGAGGGCTGCCAGATAAACAAGTGACATTCGAACGGACCAGAATTCTACCTTCTTGGTGGCAAACTGGATCAAAAGGCAAGTGAGCTGGGAATGAGTACATTACTGCAATATATTATTCTAACATGTTAGCGGTCCATTACTGATATTTTTTAAAAAGTCCCCTGGTGTGCATGTGCAGGGGTGGCGCTTGTGGGGATCGAGGTAAGGAAAATGGTGCAAATGTGAGTGGGACCTGCAAATCAGTGCCACAGATGTCTACTCCTATTGTGCACGCACATGTACTAAGGCACCCCATGGGGATGGTAGCAACATTCAGAGCATTATGCACATGTGTGCAGTATGAAAGTTTTGTACTGTATCAGAGTATGCCATGCTCAGACTGCCCCTTACGTGACAAGGCCACAGAGGACCCTTCTGTTTCTGCAGGGTGCATTTGACAAGATTGCAGGAGCAGACGTTGGTCTCTCAGACACCATGCAAATGAGCCAGAACCTTCGCCTCTCCACATGTCACCTCTTTGGCAGCCTGACACATGTGGGGATGCTGCTGCCGCCGCCACCACATCCACTCTGGGCTGCAGGAACAAGCATGCCCACACACCAGGTAAAGAAACATTCTTTTCATAAAGGAGAGGCACCCTGCACATGCTCAGGTCAAACACACCTTTATGGTTTCTTTCCTCAAGTTCAGAGTCAAAGTTAAGCCCTGGGAGCAAGCCCTGCATCCCAGCACCAGAACCAAATACCTGGCTACTGTTTGGCTGCAGTAAAAGCTATAGCCCTGAGACGTCTTGCATTGTCTGGTTGGCTAGCAGTGCCCCAAGCTGGAGACTGATGCTATATTGCGAACACTGGGGCCTTCTAGGAAAACTTAAAGCACCCTTGAGACATGAAGAAGAGATTGGATTTATACCCTGCTCTTCACTACCTAAAGGAGCCTCAGAGCGGCTTACAATCTCCTCCCCCTCCCCACAACAGACACCCCGTAAAGTAGGTGGGGCTGACAGAGCTCTTTCAAGAACTGTTCTTGACAAAACGGCTCCGAAAGAACTTGTGACTGGGCCAAGGTCACACCAGCAGCTGCATGTGGAGGAGAGGGGACTCAAACCCGGTCCTCCCAGATTAGAGTCCGCACTTCTAACCACTACACCAAACTGGCTCTCACTGAAGGGCCACAGACTGTATGGAGTCTCCATGGCAAACACAGATGTACAGACAGGTGTATGAAATCTTTTTAAAAGTCTGTTTGCTTTCAGAAGCCAAAGTGGGTTATAGAGCTGTGTGAAAGGGACCCTAGGTGTGGTCCATCTAACCAATTATCTGAAGTTGGCTTGTTAACTGCAATTAACCTTCTAATTGATTTTATGTGCTTTACAAAAATAGACACCTCAGCTTAATCACGGCTTGTTTTGCTCTGAAACCCAGGACGAC